GAGGAGATGGAGGAGGTGGAGGTGGTGGAGGAGGCGACGGCAGAGTACCAACTACACTACTCTACCGCCTCCGTGCCCGCCCCCAAGCTGCTGCCACGCGTGCCCCCTGAAGAGAGGTACTTAATCATAATAAATAATAAGAATAATAACAGCCATCACCAGCGGATACTGTAACTATTACATCTTTATTTGTTAAGAACTGTAATCATAATTACAGTTCTTGTTGTTGTTGTTGTTGATCTCATTCTTGTTATCCTTGTTATCATCATCATCACCATCGTCGTCGTCATCGTCATCGTTGTTATCGTTAGGGGTCACGTGGGCGGCAAGCAGGACCGAGCCAGCCGCGTCAAGGAGTGGCAGGCGGCAGAGCTTGACTCCCGCTTACACGACGACTTAGGATGGCCGTTCGCAACGAAGAGGGAGGGGGCAGAGGCGGTAGCTGCTGCGCCCACTGTGAACACCAGCAGAGCTGCCGAGCCCAGTACGGCAGAAGCACAGGCACACGCACAGGCAGAGGCACAAGCACAGGCACACGCACACGCACAGGCTGAAGCGCAAGCGGCGGAGGTGCGCCTCAGGGCGGCGGAGGCGCAGGCACAAGCGCAGGCACAAGCGCTGGCACACGCAGAAGCGCAGACACACGCACACGCACAAGCGCAGGCAGACGCACAAGCACACGCACAGGCAGAAGCGCGGGCACAGGAACACGTACACGCACAGGCAGAAGCGCAGGGACACGTGCAGGTAGAGGCAGAGGCGGACGCCGCCACGGCCCAATCAGAGGCGCAGGCGGAGAGAGAGCGAGAGAGGGCCTCGGCAGCTGCGGAGGTGGTCGCACCTCTGCCCGTCGCACAGCCAGCCGCACCTACTCCCCCTGCGGCAGTTGCTCCCCCTGCATTAGCTGCGGATGCGGGGGCAGGCGTGGGTGCAGCGGAGCCGGCGCCCAGCTCCCCTGTTGTGCAGGCGGGGGCGGACCAGCCGACGCTCGGGTTGCCGTTGGAGCGGCAGCAGCCGCCACCATCGCCGCCGCCCGCCCCGCCCGAGCCGGACCCGCCGCCCGAGTCCGGTGCCGGCAAGGGGGGGGAGGGAGGGGGCAGTGGGTGGGTGGGTAAGAGGCGAGGTGGCAATCGCGGTGGACAGCGCTACCAGCCGGACAAGCAGTGGAAGTCAACGGACACTGGGGCTGCGGTCGCTGGGAGAGCGACCAGCGAGCGAGGGCAGGCGTCCGACAGTGTGCTGCCCACATCGACCGCCGCCGCCGCCGCCGTATTTCCCGCCGCCACCACCACTGCTGCTACAGCGGCAGTGGCAGCAGCGGTACCGACAGAGGGGGCAGGGGAGGCTGCGAGTGGAGCAGGCGCCTCCGCAACTGCCGCGAGCAGCACGGGCGCGGCGGCAGAGCCCGGGCCGGAGGTGGGGCCGGTAGACGCAGCAGAGGCGGAGGCTGCTGTGCAGGCGGGGCGGCTCGTGGCAGAGGGGTTAACCGCGGCGTTGGCAGAGGCGGAGGAGGAGACGGACAGTCAGGCGGCGGCGCAGGCGGCGGCGCAGGCGGCGGCGGAGGCGGCGCTACTCGAGGACGCGTTCGGTGTGTGTGTGTGTGTGTGCGTGGTGTGCGTGTGCGTGTGTGTGGTGTGCGTGTGCGTGCGTGTGTGTGTGTGTGTGGTGTGCGTGTGTATGTGTGCGTGTGTGCGTGTGTGTGAGTGTGTGCGTGGCTGTATGTGCGTGGCTGTTGTGGGTGGGTGGGTGGTTGGGTGTGCGTGCGCGTGCGTGCGCGTGCGTGTGCGATACCTATATGAATTCAATCATCATCATCATCATTCACAATAACTCACACCAAGGCGACCTCGACCTTGACCCGGAAGACTTGCGGAATCTGGCCGCAAACCTCGCCTCCGCCCAGCTCCGCGCCGCGGCCCGTGCGCTCTGGCTGGTGGGCAGGACGGGGCGGGGCAAGGGCGCGGCGGCGCACAGGGTGGACTCCATGGAGGTGGCGAGCCGCCTCGAGAACGCGCACTCCGTACTCGCCGCCGCCGAGCGCGCGCTCCTCCCACCGGGTGCACCGGGGGGGTCTGGAGCCCCCGGGAGCCCCCAGGGGGAGCCCGGGGGCTTGGCGCAGCTCGCGACGCTCTCGCAGCTGGGCGCGGTGGCGGCGGCGGCGCGCAAGCTGGCAAGCAGGTCGCGGGCCTGGCTCGAGCTGGCAGCGGACGCGGGGGAGCTCCCCGACTATCCCTCCCCCCTCGCGGACGCTGGGCCCTCCCTCCCGGACTCGCTCGAGTCGCAGCTGCTCGCCAAGCTGCGCGCCGCCGAGCTGGCCGTGCGTGCGCTGCGCTCGGCCGCGAGAGCCTTCCCGCCCTTCGCCCCGCCCGCGGCATATGGGAGCGGCAGCTGGAAGCCCGTGCAGGAGCGCGAGTCCGGGGGCCCGGGCGAGGCGAGCGGGGAGGGCGGAGAGCAGCTCGACACGCCGCAGGTCGCGCGCGCCACCGTCGCACGCGTGCGCGTCGCCGCGCTCGCAGTGGGGGTTGCGCTGCCCGGCGTGACGGCCGTTCCGACACCGCGCCCCAGATCGTCGAAGCCCGCCGCGCGCCTGCCCGCGGCCGAGGTCGCCGCCCTCCTCTCGTTGCAGCTGCTCGCCGCCCCCGGCCGCCGGCGCGCGCGCGCCGCGTGTTTCCTCGCGTGGGGCGTGCACTGCGCGCTGGTGCTGGGGGCGGCCGTGCTGACCACGGCGAGGGCTGAGCTGCTGGGGCCAGTGGTCGAGCAGCTGTGTGCCGCGTGGGGCGCCGCGGTGTGCCTGCTCCTGCTCGGCTTCGAGCCCGCCCTGCTCTGCACGCTGGCGGTTGCGCTGCCCCCCGAGAGAGCGGCGGGCTGGCTGGACCGGCTCGAGCGCTTCGAGTGGCCCGCGATGTCCGTGTTGCCCTACCGGTCCAGTAAGCCCGGCAACATCCACTCCGGCGCGCCAGCCGAGACGGGCGCGTCCGCTGGCGCGCCTGTCGCCGCCACTCCCGCTGGCGCACCCGTCGCGGCGCCAGCTCTGGCGCCGCCGCCTACGACGCGGCCAGGAACGGCGGGCGGGCTCCAGCGCAGCGTGCCTGCTGTACCCTTGCCGACAATCGGGGCGGGGCGGCTCACCGTGCGGCCGCCGATGGCTAGGCCGGTCCCACCTACCGCCGGCTCTTTAATTTATGGGTGGGTGCGCGGGATTCGCGCTTAGTTGCTGTTTCTGATCTCTTGTATATAACTGTATGCTTTGAATATATTCTAGTTACATGAACTTAGTGTGTAAATCTCTATAAACACGTCCGGCCTCGTAAAGGTCTCCCAGTCTACCAGTGGCAGTGGTGCAGCAACAACACACTGTTAGCCTAGGACCGTTCCTGGTGGTTCTAATAGTTGCGCATACAGTTCAACTTTGAACTTGCATCCGGTCACTTTACATATTTGATTGTAGTAGTCTGTTGGTATATTGAATCCAGTTTCCAAGTTTATTATTTGACACTTTTTCAATTGCTATTAACTAGCTGAGTAACTATCAATTGCGCTGTCGCTGTTACAAAGGGGAAAAGGAACCGGGGAAAACATTTAAGTGTCCGGTCCAGCGGAGTCGGCACGCCCTTACCGGGCCTTAATCGACCTAGCGGATTCCAATCAACAACTAAAGTCTTCTGACTCGAAGCGGCCCAGTCGACTCGGTCTCGGACTGCCAACTTGATTGATCTGCGAGCAACTCGATCGATCTGCTTGCGAAGAAATCAAGTCCGCAACGTTGACTCCGTCTGGCTACCCGTGGAGCTCGATCTCGGGTAAGAATGAAAAAAGAAAGAATGACAATGGTCCACAATATTTTAGGATCTTTCTACGAAGTGTTGTTGTCAATATCTTCGAACACCTGAAGACACCTCTACAGGCAAAATTTGACGGGAAACAACTTCGGCAAGTAGGCCCGATACCTGATTTCAACGGAATCGTCATGAAAACGGCCCTTCGAAGTTGGTGGGTTTGCAGTCTAAAACCTTCCTCACTTTGGAGGCCATTTACTCATCATTCCCGTTAGAATCAGGTCCCAGGACACACTGGCAAGCTCGCCCCCGTCGTATTATACGTCTTTGGAGATCTTCAAAGTTTGACGGGACCAATTTGGGACTCATTCTCGACGAGTCCGCGCCCCAGTGCTTACCCGGTATCGGAATTCACGGGTAGATAGCAGATAGTGGTGGCGGGTCTTGAGCACGTCGATCGGCTGCGTCGCGGCCGCGCTAACGGCGCCTGCGACGATCGCCGCCCGCGCTTATCGTCATCGGCCGGATTGGAGGAGGACGCTCGTACATCAATGCTTGCCTGCCACGCACGCAGGAGATCGTGTCAGAGAGCGCATTCAGAGATCGCACGCAGAAAACGCGCTCAGCGGCGGCCGCCTGGTAGCTGCGCCCAAAACCCTTCGCCGCCCTTACCCTTTTTGTTCTTCCAGCCGTGGAGGTCGCTCAGCAGCTGCGGGCCCTTCCCGCCACCGCCGCCGCCGAGCCCGTTGTCGAGGTGTGGCAGCCCCGTTTTCGTGCGACCCTGCGAGGGGCCGGCGTCGTCGAGCACCGCGGCGAGCCAGCCCTCGCCGCCCGGACCCTTGGTTAGCTCCACATCATCGTGGATCATGAGCCGGCGGGCCGGGTGCGGAGGGTGCGGTACCTGCACCTTGTCCTGCGCGTTGAGCTGCACCATGTGCACCTTGGACGTGGGTGCGGCCATGATCTGCACGAGCACGCCGTCCTTCACCAGCCGGCACACCCGGCCGACGAGGCGTTCCCCGCCCGCGGTGGCCGAGCTGCTGCGTCTCAGCGCTGATGAAGCAAGCATCTCCGCCGAGCTTGCTGCGACTGAGAGCGCTGATGAAGCTTACTCCCGTGCTGTGGCCGTGATCGCTGATGACAAACGCGTGCGTGATCGCATACGAAATTTACTTGGTTCCTGACTTCAATACACCAAAATTGCTTGAGCATTACATCTCATCTGGTTCTTTGGCCGAGCGGTTAAGGCGTGGCACTCGAAATGCCATCTCGTAAGAGGCGCAGGTTCAAATCCTGCAGGAACCGATTCTTTTGACTTTCAACTATTTTCCGTCCGGGTGGCCGAAATCCTTCAGTGTCCGCCAAGCAAGTTGGTTGTTGCCCTTCACCCTTTATTCCGGGTGGCAGAAATCCTTCAGTGTCCAAGCAAGTTGGTCCAAGGGGATATGAGAACAGAATCAGTGCTGGTCGTTCATAACCCGACGAAAAAAACGAATCCGTTCATTTGAGGAAATGGTGGCGTGACGATGAACCCGGTGTGAGCCTGATGGAGGCGAGCTACGTCCAGCTGGATGAGCCCATTAATGAGCCAGCCTTGTCTGCGGACGCGGCTTTCCAACCGCTAGCAGAATTACGAACTTGTTCTGCGCCAGCGAAGAAATTGGAGGAGGAAAGCACGGCTGAGAGCGACAAGAGAACAACAGCATCCGGACTTTTCGCGTCGGCCCCCGACCGCACCATTACCCGGACGGTAACATGCTTGACTGTGCACTCCGGGGCTGTTCTGCGCACAAAGTGGCAGCCGCTTCCCGGAGAGCAACTTCTGCGCGACTTGCGGCTGCAAGCGTGGCATGTGCTGAGACGTCTGTTTTTCTACCTTCTCTCTCTCCCACTCTCTCTGTGTGCCTGTCTCCCTGTCCTTCAAGTCTACAGGTCTGCGCACAGTCGCCTACTGTACCAAGCGGGCCTGATAAGACGATTTGATTTATACAGGACAGGGGATCGCGGGCAATAAGAACGGCGGATTTCGAGGCTGAGGCTGAGTTTCTTAGCAAATTACATACAAACAATAGTATATATACTGATAGGGATTCAAGCTGGCGTCTGACAGTTCTGAATGTTTTGCTGGTCTGAGCGCTGCGTCGCCCATTGCCTGCTGCGTGCCTTAGTCGGCTGCGCTGGCTTGGGCATACTGCGCCCCCCGAGGGGGGCGCTGCCTGGCTCGCCACCATGATATTGCACTTTGCCACCATGCTAGTGCTTCTGTCACGTGCTGTGACGGGCGCTGTTTCGCGCGGTGGCGAGCAGTACGCGGAGACGCCGCTCAAGGCTACCAAGGCTACGACGACGACGCTGCTCCCTGCGGCCGCCGCAGTG